AGTGGCAAAGAATTAGAAACTAAGGAGATGGCCATCATTTGGGAAGTGGCTTAAAAAATTATGGATGTAATAGATACTATTGTGCTGTAAGAAATGCCTAAAAGAATGGTTTTAGAGAAACCTGGGAAGACTTGTATGAACTGATGTAAAGTGAGTAGAACAAGGAGAATAATATATATAATAACAATGTAAAGACAAGTAATTTTGATAGACTTAAGAATTCTGACCAATGCAATGACCATCATCACTGATGATGAACCCACCTCCTGGGAGATTCATGGTGCAGATGGATTCATGGTGCAGAATGAGGCATACATTTTTAGACCTAAACTGTGGGAATTTGTTTTGTTTGACCATGCGTATTTGTTACAAGGGTTTAATTTTTCTTTTAAATGGGGTTAGGGAAGAAGAAGAGAAAACAAATAGTTGTTAATTGAAAAATTGAATAAAATGAATGTAAAAAACAAACAAAAATAACAAGGGATAGGCTTAACCTGTTTACAAGATGTTGATATTTTAAAAGAGCTCCACTCATTTCTTTGTTTGGTAGAAAGACCTTTTTGAGCAATTCGGATGCTTGAAAGGTTGTTGAACTGTGTGGCATAAAGTCCCGGCCCTAGAATAGATATAGAGAGAATAGGGTCAAATGGAAAGCATCTCTTGGGCACATAGGCAGGTGCTTAATAGGTATTACTTGATGATGACTTTCCATGGACGAGAAGGGCAGTGAAAGATCATTTTTAAGGTTTTCTCATTTTATTTGATATATGTCCCTTTAAAACAGTGGTTATTAAGCTTTTTTGTCTGTCATGGAGACTTTTGGCAGTCCGGTGAAATTTATAAACTTCTCAGAATAATGTTTTTTAAATGCTTAAAATAAAATGCATAGGATACAAAGGAAGCCAATTATGTTGAAATACAGTTATAAAAATATTTTTTAAAACACATTCACAGAACCCAGGTTAATAATCCCTGCTTTAAATGTTCAAATTAAACTCTATTCCTGGATGTATTTTCAGGGGACCTTATTTATATCTAAATGAATAGCTACCCTATGGGGTGTCTAATTGGCCGGAAGCTAAGTCTTAGCCACTACTATCTCATCCACTCCTCTATAGCATTTCTGGACTTTGTGGTGTTTCCTGCTTGTGTAAGGTAGTATGAGACACAAACCCTTTACCATAGCCTTCAATCTTTCTCTTACATTTTTACTCTTGACCAGAGCTCCAAAACAGGTCTATCATAGTTATTCTTGAGCCATGGGCAGGATGGCTCCTTTGCATCCCAATTTCCTACTACTTTATTCAGGGAGGAAAGAAGGAAGGATTTATTAAGTGCCTATTATGTGCCAGGCATTGGTCTTTTCAACAACCCTGGGAGTTAGGTGCTGAGGAAACTGAGGCATACAGAGGTTAAGTGACTTGCCCAGCATCATACAGCTGGTAAATTATCTGAGGTAGAATTTGAACTCAGGTCTTCCATATTTTAGGCCCAGTTGCTCTATCCCCTAAGCCACCTAACTGCTTAGCGTTTATAAAGCACTTTAGGATTTGCAAGGCATTTTACAAATGTTATCTCATTTGATCCTCACAACCTTGTGAATTAGATGCTATAATTATCTGTATTTTACAGATGAAGAAACCGAGTCAGACAGAGGTTAAGTGACTTGTCCAGAGTCACACAGCTGATAAGGGGCAAAGTGGAATTTGAACTTAAATCTTCCTTGTTCCAGTGCAATGCTCTGGTACCTAGGTACTACTTAATATCACCTAAGCTGCTAATGACTAAGCACCCTTTCCCCAGAATTCTTAACTTATGGCAAAAAAACAAAACAAAACAAAAAAAAAAAAAGCACATTTGCTGTGGCTTTTCTATGACCCAACTTCCCATGTTGTTCCCAGAACTTATGACCCAAGAGTCATGATGCAGCCCTTCCTTAATTTTGTCAGGGTTGAAATTAAGTATCTCTAAAAGAATATAGAACCATGACAATCGTGCTTTCACCTTCTTGAAAAAGCATTTTTAGCTGATGGTTGTAATTTTGGTTGTAATATTATGATTGTAATTTTGTCCAGTGTCTAGATGGGTTGATAGGCAGTTGGTATTTTAAAAGAAGAGGTTTAAAAAAAAAAAAGGTAGTTGGGTCATATTTAAATTGATATATTTTTTAGTGACTAATTTTAGATTTGTGTGGGTCTTAATTATTGCTTGCTATTTGAATATATGTGTCTCCTGTGCTTAAATTTTTTCCATGGATCTTAATAGTAACTGACACATGGTTGGTGCTTAATAAATATTTCTTGATTGATTGAATGAAAAAAAGTTTCTCCATCCCTACTCTACACAAAGGATTTAGTGACAATATGAGGGTAAGAGTACTGAATCTGAGTCAGGAGACCTGGGTTTGAATCCTAGCTCCGATGCTTTTTGGCTGTGTGGCTGTGGGTTTAGGTTCCTCATTGGTAAAATGAATAACATCCCTAGTATCTACAACACAAGGTTATTTGAAGATTAAATCAGATAATTTATATAAAGTGGTTTATAAATTCTAAAGTACTATAGAAATTCAAGCTATTATTGTTATTGGATGATTCATCAACTAGCTTTTGAAATCACATCAGCAAGGAAGACTTAACTCCCCTGTCCTATCAGGAAGGTTTGATGGCCTTCTTTTTGAGAAGTTCTGCCATCTTGTCCCCCATCCAGGGCTTCAGAGGTAGAATGATTGAGTTTGATTATTCGGTTACAATCTGAATGAGTGATAATAAGTTTGACGGATAAGAGTGCAGTGGGGAGGAAGCATACTACAAAGGTGATATAGATGGTATATAAAGTTAGAGGAAGGGAATGTCATTATGGGACAGTGTTAATCAAGAAAGACTTTTGGAGGTGAGTCAAAGCAGCCCCACTGCACTGCATACTGTGCTGTGTTTATTAAATGCCTCTGGAATTGAATCGAAAGTTAGATGAGTATCTAAGTCAGACACTAGCAGGTATGGATTAGAGAACCAAAAGAGATAAAGGAAAGAGAATGAATGAGAAGTATAGCCTCCAGCTATATCTTCTTTGGAGAATGTCAGAACTGCTCCCAGGATCCTATACTCAATCTCCACCCATCAGGGATTATAGTATTGATAGGAGAGGAGATGGAGATCTCTTCATTCTGTCCTTCCTCGATTTTCACAGAGTGGTGCATTGATTTCTTCCTCTCACTGACATTCCATACACCATGGATATTTGGCCTTACACTGTAGTTTCTCAGACTTTTCTTATTTCAGAAGCATGTAATTTTTGAGCAAGGATAACTCATAAGTAGGGGGAAATGCATCGCAACAGACAGGAAGCTCTCATTCCCCAGTTGATAAATGGTTAAAGGATATGAACAGTCAGTTTTCAGAAGAAGTTAAAGCTATCAATAGTCATATGAAAAAATGCTCTAAGTCACTAATAATTAGAGAAGTGTAAATTAAAACAACTATGAGATATCACCTCACACCCATCATATTGACTAACAAGGCAGAAAAGGAAAATGACAAATGCTGGAGGGATGTGGAAAAATAGGGACACAAATGCACTGTTGGGAGAATTGTGAAATGATCTAACCATTCTGGAAAACAATTTGGAACTATGCCCAAAGGGCTATAAAACTGTGCAAAGCCTTTGACCCAGCAATACTGCTAATAGGTCTGCATCCCAAAGAGATCAAAGAAAAAGGGAAAAGACCCTACGTACACAAATATTTATAGCATCTCTTTTTGTGGTGGCAAAGAATTAGAAATTGAGGGGATGCCCATCAATTGGGGAATTGCTGAATAAGTTGTGGTATATGATTGTGATGGAATACTATTGTGCCTTAAGAAATGATGAGGGGAATGGTTTTAGAAAAACCTGGGAATATTTCTATGAATTGATGCAAAGTGAAGTGAGCAGAACCTCGAGGACATTGTACACAGTAACAGCAATATTGTACAATGATCAACTGTGAAAGACTTAGCTACTCTGACCAATATAGTGATCCCAGACAATTCTAAAGGACCCATGTTGAAAAATGCTATCCACATCCAGAGAAAGGGCCGATGAACTCTCAGTGCAAATTGAAGCATATTTTTCCCCCTTTTTTTTTTAGTATCTTTATTTTCTTTCCTTTTTTATTGCAACATGGCTAATATAGAAATATGTTTTGTATGACTTCACCTGTATAATGGGCATCATATTGCTTGCCCTCTCAATGGGTGGGGTAGTGGCTGAAGGGAGGGAGAAAATTTTGGAACTCAAAATTTTTAAATGAATGTAAAATAGAAAGAGTAAAGTATGACATACCAAGAAACAAAACAGAGAGGAGGCTCAGTTACCAGTGTATTCTGCCATTGTTATTAATAGGGATAGGGGATAGATTAAGTTAGAGTCAGCAAGATCTGGGCTCAAATCCTGTTAGGGATACTTATAGATAAGTGATTTAACCTGAGCCTCAGCTGCCCTATCTGTAAAGTGGAGCTCACATATACCTGCAATACTAGCTACATAGGGTAGTTGTGAGACATAAATGAGAGAGTTCATGTAAAGCACTTTCTGAATTTTAAAGCTTATATAAATATCAGTTGTTACTACTTATAAGATATGCAACCCTGGTCAAGTGTCTTTACCTCCTTGGGCCTCAGTTTCCTTATCTATACAATAATTGGACTGAGTTATATGATCTCTAAAGTCTTTCCCAGTTTTTTCAAAAGATGATTCTATGTTTTGTTTTTTTTTAAATAGACCTTGGTGAAAGATTTTGTTGTACAAAGTAAGAATTTTGGATGTGGCCTAAAATATAAAAAGAAATCTCTCTGGTACTTAAATCCCCACCTTTTTCTTTATTTTCCCAATGCTTTTCCCTTTGAGTATGATGAGTGAGTTATCCTATAGTTAAGTCCAGAGAGAGGGCAGGAATGGAAGAGAGAGCTCTCTTCCTGTTTGGGTGAGGACAGGCTGGCTAACAGTGACTCCTTGGATTTCAGGTGCTTGTTGGAGCTGTGAAGCAGCTGTTTCCTGAATTTGAGTTCATGTGGCTGGTGGATGAGGCGAAGAAGAACTTGCCTCTGGAGTTAGACTTCCTCAATGAAGGGAAAAATGCAGAGAAAGTGGCTGAAATGCTTAAACGCTTTGAGTTCTTAAAGGTAGGAATGAGGAAAAGGATGACTGCTAAGGGTGCTGGGTTCAAAGCACGGACATGGCTTCTCATTGTGAATTGGCTACTGCCATCCCCCTAGGAAGAGTCACTCACCCTGTCTTGGCCTCAGTTTTCCCATTTGCAAAATGGAGATAGTGTAACCTTGATGTATCCTTCTTCAGATAATGAATAAATTAATACTTGGGCAGCAGATCTGAATCCTTATAGAAAAGACTCTAAATCAGACATTCTTAGCCATTTTGTATCGTGGTCCTTTTCAGTAATCCTTGCTCAGAATGTCCCTTCTGCCTGAAATATATATATTTGTATATATATACATACATATATATATGTATATGTATATATATATATGTATACATATATATTTGGCCCTTTTCACTTGTCAAATCCCATATATTAAAGCTTATTTGGAATACCACCTTTTCCCCTCATCCCCTGGTCAGCAACAACCTTCCCCTTCAAACCTCACTTGGTTTTGAGTTACTCTATTACATTTATCACATAATATATTTTTTTGCAGATTAACTTTTTATTTTGATAAAATCAGAATAGGTAGCAATTCAGTTCTGGCATCTAAATTAGTATGATAAGCAGTTACTAAGTCTGTGGTAAAAAGGAGCAGCTAGGTGGTACAGTGGATAGAGTGCTGGAAGACTCAGCTTCCTGAGTTCAACTCTGGCTTCAGACACTTACTACCTGTGTGACCCTGAGCAAGTCACTTAACCCCGTTTGCTTCAGTTTCCTCACTTGTAAGATGAGCTGGAGAGGGAAATGGCAAACCACTCTAGTATCTTTGCCAAGAAAACCCCAAAAATGGGGTCATGAAGAGTCAAACACAACTGAAATGACTAAACAACAACAATGTGTAAGGCACTGTACTATCCCCCGGGGGCACAAAGACAAAAATGAAATAATCCTTCACCTCTAAGAGTTTATATTCTCCTGGGGTGTGTGAGGAAGAGGGATGACTGGGAAAGTTCTCAGGCAGAAGTTGGGATTTAACCTGAGTCTTAAAGGAAGCCATTATTGTAATTATTAGCTTGGACAATTCAACTCAAGGAAATGAAGAAAGATCTGTTTTGCTCTGGACCGAGCTAACCAAAAACTACTTTATGAGAAGTGCCCTCTTTATTTCTCACCAAGACCATTCCGAAGAGATGAGAATGGTCCAAGAGGCATCTACCCTTGCTGCACAAAAAGCCTGTGGGTTTGCCAAAGAGCTGAAAAAGCCAGACCCACAGTCATTATCGTTGTCTGGGAGGAGAAGCAAAACTAATTACCCACAAGCTGAATTCTGCTTTTGTCTTGGGGTTGTGCGTACATTTTGGAAGAAACAGGAAAGTACTTCTACCACGGAAGAATTCAGATTGCTGTGTGTGCTCTGGGCTCAGTATGTCCAGATGTCCTCTCTCCGGTGGATTGGTAACCACCAGTCTGTTTGGCTGGCCTTCCTTTGGCTGCTTGTGTGGATAGAAATATTAGAGTTCTTCCACTCCATCCCAATCCAGACAATTGGACAGAACCCCTGGGGAGCACCCCTGAAATCACCACAGGTCAGCTAAAAACTGGTTTCCACAAAAACACACACCTTGGAGCAAGCAGGGTGCCCATCAGAGCTGTTACTAGGAGACTGACAAGTAGAACCCTCTACTGTCCCCATGGAAACAGCCAATCACATAGCAGCTGGGGCCAAAAAGCCATAACTGTACTGATGATGTAATTATAATAATAGTACTGCTTAAGGGGAAAAAACCAAGGATGCCAAATGGATAAATAATTAATCTACTGACTTAAACTGTGGCTTCCCAAACATGCACACAACCCCAAAGATGATAGTGGAATTCAGCTCCTGAGTAATTAATTTTGCCTAAGCACATAACAAGTGGGAAGTGAATTTTGTGCTGTGAACCCAGTTGAGCTCTTAAAGCTGGAGATAAATTGTTTTTATATACTGGCATCTCATTGAAACATCTGTGAGTAATTAAGCCTCAGCAAAGAGTTTACCTCTCGGTGTGTGAGGCATCTTCTCATGCTTATGTTGGGCTTAATAAGTGCCTTAGTTCAGTGCAATAAATCTCAGAGTTACACACACCTTCCAAATACAGGGATGGTACAAGGGGCAGGGAGCTTAAGGGGAAGCTGAGTGGGATGGTTACAACCTGGGCAGTTAATGTGGATCTGGTCTACGATGGGCTACTACAATTTGAGACTGGCAGAAGATGATGGCTAGAGAATTGGGGGCCAAGTTGGGAGATAAGAAGCCTTCTCATAGCTCTAGAATATGGACAGAATAAGAGATGTGTCAGGGAGAAGCCAGGGTGAGCACTCTATGGGGAGAGAGGGAGGGGAGTGTCCTTAATTAAAAGGTAATTACTGGCAAATATCTGGATTTTCAGAATATTGTTTATAGCAAATTTTTGTCAGTTTCTCAAAGAGATTTCAGTAATCTCCAGAGAATTCTTTAAATTAATTTTAATTCACGTTAATTTAACAACAACGAAAATCAATAGAAGCCAGAAGGTATTTTTGAAAGAAGGACAACTGCAGGGAAGTAAATGAAAAAATGATGAGGATTATAGCTCTCAAAAAGTTGAAAATCACTGGTCTGTGTTATGGGACTGGACATTTTAGAAAGCGCTAGATATTTCATGTTTCTCTCTTTGTTAAGAGGGCAGATCTTCAGTGGAGAGTACCAGACTCTTTGAAAGTGAATTTCCAAAAAGGCCTTTGAGGGCATGCTAATTCACTGCAAATTTGTAGCCATCTCCATCCAAATGTTCATATGGACTATTTGTGTCCAACCTGTGGTGAAGCCTTCTGAGCTCCTATTGGTCTGATCAGCCAGTCAGACACACTGTACCGTGATTCCCACATAGTGATGTCATTTTGTTCCTCTTCAAGAATTAAGGGGGTGGGGGTGGGGCAGCTAGGTGGCACAGTGGATAGAGCACCGACCCTGGATCAGGAGAACCTGAGTTCAAATCTGGCCTCAGACACATGATACTTACTAGCTGTGTGACCCTAGGCAAGTCACTTGACCCCAATTGCCTCGCCAAATTAAAAAAAAAAAAAGGAAGGAATGTATATGTATAGCCCATATCAGATTGCACACCATCTTGGGGAGGGAGGTGGGAAGGGAGTGGGAGAGAAATTTAAAACTCAAAAGCTTATGGAAGTGATTGTTGATAAATCAAAATAAATTAATAAAAAAAAAAAGGAGTGAAGGACAACCACAAATTCACTACTGTTGGAGCTGTGAATTGGTTCAATCATCTTGGGAAGTTATTTCTAATTATATAAGAAAAGTTACAAAATTGTTCCTACTCATTTATTTCATGATCCTTTTACTGGATTGTACCTCAAGGAGGTTATTGACAGACAGACAAGATCCATCTGCACAATAATATTCATTAATAACAACTTGATTTGTAGTAGCAAAAAGTTGGAGACAAACTATATGCCCAACACTTAAAGCAAAGTTTCTTAATCTGAGTCCACAGACCTGAAGGGGGCTGTGAATAGATTTCAGGGAGTCTCTAAACTTGGATATAAAAAAATTCATTTTTATTTTCAGTGTAATTGATTTCCTTTAGATGTTTTATATGCTTTCACATGTATAATTGATATTACATTACATATTACACCTTCTCAATAAGTGAGGGGAGTGGGAGGAAGGGAGAGGATTCAGAACTCAAATTTTAAAAAGAAAAATGTTAAAAATTAATAAATAATTTTTAATTAGAAAAGCCTATAATTGGTTTCCTTTGTAAGCCTATGTTTTATATACTATTCATTAAGAGTATTATTCAAATCCCGCCTCAGACACTTGACACTTACTAGCTGTGTGACCCTGGGCAAGTCACTT